ATAATATATTAATTATAATATATAATATAAATATAATAAAATATATATTATATAATATTTTTTTTTTTAATAAAATGTGGTTGAGCCACAATTATTTAATTTTCAAGTGGATTTAAAGAAGAACCATCAGCAAAAATGAGAATTATTGAGATCCAGCTGAAGGGGCAGGGACTGAGTGAGGATTTGGCTTTTCACAAGACAATAAAACTCCTTAATTAACGTTTGTCCTGATTAATTTTCGTTGCCTTCCAGAGCTTCTGCCCCAGCAGGTTCCTCCTCAGAGCCCTGAAAATGGGATTTTGTCCCAGTTTGGAGCCAAAGCGTCCCTTGTGGCCAAGGTTTTTGTTGATTAAATTCAATTAATTGCACCAATTAATCCAATTAAAGCTCAGGGTGAGTAGTTCAGATTCGGGAAGCCTCAAATTCCAAAGGTTTTTTAGGAAGCATTTCCACGGAGCAGGATCCTCAGCAGCTCTTCCAAGGCTCCAACATTTCATGGTGGATTTGGGCAGAACGAGGATTTCAAAGCCCCGAGGCAAAGAGACCCAAAACTGCAAAAATTTGGGATTTTTTTGGCCAAGGCAGCTCAGTGAGCAGCCTGAAAATCCGCCCAAAATCCTGCAGGGAATCATGGAATGGTTGGGTGGGAGGGGACCTCAAATCTGCCCGAGGTTGAAGGCAATTCAAACTCATTCTATTTTTAATATTTTCATTCCTTTTTCCCAGATTTTTTTTTTTTCCAGGGAATTCTGGTTTTATTGGCAGGGAAGAGTCTGGATGAGAGCAGAGTCACACCTTAAGGTGGGCAGGGTCAAACCCAGCCTGGAGTTTTACAGAGGATTTAAAGCTTTTAGGAGAACCTCAGATTGATGGTTTGGGGATTTCTCTTCTTTTGGAGAACCCCAAAAAAAGATTTGAGTCTTTGGAGAACCTCAAATTCTGATTTAAGTATTTGAATTTTGGGGAGAACCTCAAATTCTAATGGTTTGAGGATTTGAGTCTTTGGAGAACCTCAAATGAAGATTTGAGTATTTGAATTTTTGGGAGAACCTCAAATTCCGATGGTTTGAGGATTTGAGTCTTTTTGGAGAACCTCAAATTTTGATGGTTTAAGAACTTCAATCTTTTTGAAGAACCTCAAATTCTGATGTTTTGGGGATTTCAATCCTTTTGGAGATCCTCAAATGAAGATTTGAGTCTTTGGAGAACCTCAAATTCTGATGGTTTTGGGCACTTGAATCTTTTTGGAGAAGCTCAGATTCTGATTTGAGTTTTTGGGAGAACCTCAAATTCCGATGGTTTGAGGATTTGAGTCTTTTTGGAGAACCTCAAATTCTGATGGTTTTGGGCACTTGAATCTTTTTGGAGAAGCTCAGATTCTGATTTGAGTTTTTGGGAGAACCTCAAATTCTGATGGTTTTGGGCACTTGAATCTTTTTGGAGAAGCTCAGATTCTGATTTGAGTTTTTGGGAGAACCTCAAATTCCGATGGTTTGAGGATTTGAGTCTTTGGAGAACCTCAAATTCTGGTTTGAGATTTTGAGTCTCTTTGAAGAACCCCAGTTTCTGATTTGGGGATTTCAATCTTTTCAGAGAACCTCAAATTTTGGTGTTTTGGGCATTTGAATCTTTTTGGAGAAGCTCAGATTCTGAGTTAAGTATCTTGAGTCTATGGGAGAACCTCAAATTCTGATGGTTTGAGAATTTGAATCTTTGGAGAACCCCAAATTCTGCTTTGAGATTTTCTGATGAAGATTTGGGCCTTGCCTGGGAGACCCCAAATCCAGCCAGCTGTGAGGATTTGAGTCTTGCTGGGAGACCTCAAATCCCAAATTTCCTCCTCCCCGGCTGCTCCAGGCTCCCATCGATGCTGGATTTAGGGAATCTTGGATCTGATGGTGGGGTCTTCTCCAGAACTCCACCCAGCCAGGCTGAGTCTTTCCTATTTTCTCTCACATTAGAGAAAAATGGTGAGTTCTCACTCAGATTGGATATTCACGGAAAATTTCTTCATGGAAAGAGCTGGAACAGGCAGTGGAGTCCCCATCCCTGGAAGATTCCAAAGCCACGTGGATGTGGCACTTGGGAACGGCTGGATGACCTTAGAGGGCTTTTCCAACCCGAACAATTCCATGATTCCGTTAATTTTCCAGCCGCCAGTCAAGGAGACACAAAGCCAAGAGCCTTTGAAGAGGATACAGGTTTATTTCACTTTTAAAAAACCAACCCAAACCCCACCCCGAACCCAACCGGCCCCAAAAGCCGCCGGGTCCTTCCCTTCTCCAGCCTCTGCTGAAAAATAGGTGCTCTGCTCTCTACACAAATATTAAAACTGAACTAATCAGCCTGGAGGGGGAGCCTGGGTTAATTAATTTGGGTTAATTAATTTTGGCTAACGAGGCCCTTCTGCCCGGGCCCTTCCTCCTCTGTGCTCCAGCGGGAATTGCCGCCATTCCTGCGACTCCGTGAACGTTCCAGACGCGCTCGTCACGCCAGGAAGTTTAAAAAATGCCCCTGACAGGAACAAACAACCCGTGGTGGATGTGCTGGGAGTGAAAAGCAAATGGTAAAAAAATCAGGAGTGTCCAAATCCCCCAAATATTCCCGTGTCCCTCGGGAATTGGGGACGCCATGCGAGGTCCTGGAGAGGAAGGGTGAGCCAGAGGATGCACGGGGTGTTACAGCTGGAGCAGCTCCCTGTCAGCCCTGCTCAGGCCCTGGATCCCGGAATTCCTGGGTAAAACAATCCCTGGATCCCAGAATTCCTGGATCCCACAATCCCTGGGTAAAACAATCCCCGGATCCCAGAATCCCTGGGTAAAACAATCCCTGGATCCCACAATCCCTGGATAAACAACCCCTGGATCCTACAATCCCTAGATAAAACAATCCCCGGGTAAACAATCCCTGGATAAAACAATCCCTGGATCCCAGAATTCCTGGATCCTACAATCCCTGGGTAAAACAATCCCTGGATTCCACAGTTCCTGGATCCCACAATCCCTGGATAAACAATCCCTGGATCCCAGAATTCCTGGATATACAATCCCTGGATCCCACAATCCCTTAGTAAAACAATCCCTGGATCCCACAATCCCTGGATCCCACAATCCCTGGATCCCACAATCCCTGGATCCAACAATCCCCGGATCCCACAATTCCTGGATCCCACAATCCCTGGGTAAAACAATCCCTGGATCCTACAATTCCCGGATCCCACAATCCCTGGATCCTACAATCCCTGGGTAAACAATCCCAGGATCCCACAATCCCTGGATCCTACAATCCCTGGGTAAACAATCCCAGGATCCTACAATTCCTGGATCCCAGAATTCCTGTATCCCACAATCCCTGGGTAAAACAATCCCTGGATAAACAATCCCTGGATCCCACAATCCCTGGATAAACAATCCCTGGATAAAACAATCCCTTGATAAACAATCCCTGGATCCCCCAGTCCCTGGATCCCACAATCCCTGGGTCCTACAGTCCCTGGATCAAAAAATCCCTGGATCCCACAATCCCTGGATCCCACAATCCCTTGATAAACCATCCCTGGATCCCCCAGTCCCTGGATCCCACAATCCCTGGGTCCTACAGTCCCTGGATCAAAAAATCCCTGGATAAAACAATCCCTGGATCCCACAATCCCTGGATAAACAATCCCTGGATCCATCCCTGGATCCCCCAATCCCTGGATCCCCCAATCCCTGGATCCCCCAATCCCTGGATCCCCCAATTCCTGGATCCCACAATTCCTGGATCCCACAATCCCTGGATAAACAATCCCTGGATCCAACAATCCCTGGATCCAACAATCCCTGGATCCCACAATCCCTGGATCCAACAATCCCTGGATCCCACAATCCCTGGATCCCACAATTCCTGGATAAAACCATCCCTGGATCCCACAATCCCTGGATCCCACAATCCCTGGCTCAAACACCCACGGACCCGCAGTCGCAGCTCCGGTGTTTCCCCGCCGTGTTTGATCCCTGCAGCACCTCATCAGTTGCTCCCTGCTCCCAAAACCCTTCATCCCAAATTTCTGCTGGCTTCCCCACCTCCCCAGCCCCAGCTGCAGCTCCGTGTGAAGATCCTGGAGGATGAAAATCAGGGATGAAGGTTCTGATTCTCTCTGGGTCCTTGGTGGAGCCACCACAAACAGCTGGAACATCACCTGCCCTACACCAGGCCAGCCTCCCCATCTGCAAAATCCCTGGAAAAATCCCTTGGGATTTGAAATTCAGCTTTTCCAGGCTTGGGAAAAACAGAAAATGAGGGAAAAAATGCTTCAGGATGTTGGGAAGGAGCTGCAGGTCCTGGCAGCACCACGCTGGCTCTGGGTGGGATGGAATTCCCTTTTCCCACACTGGGGTTTGGGGCTAAACCAGTGCTCCCAGCACATCACGGAGCAACTTCCTTTTCCCACTCTGCCTCCCAGCAAGGATGAGGAAAGCTGGGAAGGGGATTATCCCAGAGAGATGATAAAAATCAGCAGTAAAAATAGAGGGAAGAAGTTTGGGAAATGCTCAGGGAATGCCTGGCAGGGAGCTGCTGCCTTTCCATCACTTTGGGATTTTTTTTCCATGGTTTTTCCTTTGTTGTTAAATCCCCTTCATCCCTCCTGGATGCCTCAACTGGCCCAGCTGGGCAGGGACAGCACGGGAACAAGGTGCTGCTCCAGGAAAAGTGCAGGAAAAGTCCAGGAAAAGCAGCCAGGGGTGACACTGAGGGACAGGGAGCCTGTGCCAGGCTGATCCCAAGGGATGGGAGGAGAACTGGGCAAGGGAGAGGAAACGCAGCCCTCTCAGGATCCACGGGGCAGGCTGGAAGCTCCGGCTGCGGATGTTTCCCAGCTCAGGGATCAGGGATTCCCACTGGGATGGGGCTCAGCCATCGGCTCCAGACACCGGGACCATCAAAGGATGGCACCAAGCTGGCTCAGGGTGCAGCTGATCCAAGCCAACAGCAGGGAAGTTGGGCTTCCAACAAAGCTCTGGATCAGCTTCTCCTTAAAAAGGGTTATTCCAATGGGAAAAAAAAAATAAAATAAAAGGGAGGAAAAATTTGAAGCCTAAAAAAATGCCAACTCCCAGAAAATGCCCGGATTGTTTCTCCATGATCCAGTGGAGGATCCCCGTTCTCCCAGGAGCTTGGCACAGCCAACACCCCCCCTGTTATAAAAACACCCCGGGGGTGGGGTGGGCTCTGGAAAACACCAAACAGATCCCGGCTGAAAATCCCTGGATTCACTCCTCCTTGGGCCTCCGGAGGGGCCGCAGGCTGTTCCACACCTCGGTGTACATCAGGGTGCCCACGAAGACGAAGGCGGTGCCCAGCCAGTGCCAGCCCGTGAAGGGGTTCCGGAAGTACAGGATGGAGAAGATGAGGCTGACGAACTTGCGGAGCGTCACCACCAGGGTGACCGTCAGGGACGTGCACTCCGTGGTCAGGATGAAGACGCCGCGGATGCAGACGTACCTGGGCAGGAGGTAAGGGAAATCCCAAAGCTCCCAGGTCCCCCAGTGTGTTGGTAAAGGGGTGACAATCCCTGCCGCAGAGCCAAGGGAAGCTCCAGACTCCTCCATTTCCATGGAGAAGAAGTCCCAGAATCCCAGAACAAACCAGGTTGGAAAAGATCTTTGAGATCTTTGGACCTTTGAGGTCCAACCTAAAACCAAAAGTTTCCTTTCCCTGCATTTTTGGAGTTACAGCACCAGCAGCTCCCAAGGGCAGGAAGACTCCACGGATTTACTTCCTCCCAGGAGCAGGAGGTAAGGGACAGCAGGGATGCAGACTGGGAATTCCCTTTGGGAATGGGCAGCCTGCTGTGCATGGGGGAAACTCCCTCCTGGGATCAGCTGGGTTGGAACAGGACAACAAACTCAGGGACATCCCAAATCTCTCAGGTCCCCCACTGTGTTGGTAAAAGGGTGACAATCCCTGCCACGGAGCCAAGGGAAGCTCCAGACTCCTCCATTTCCATGGAGAACAAGTCCAGAATCCCAGAACAAACCAGGTTGGAAAAGACCTTTGAGACCTTTGGACCTTTGAGGTCCATCTAAAAACGGGAAGTTCCCTTTCCTGCATTTTTGGAGTTATACCAACAGCAGCTCCCGAGGGCAGGGAAGACTCCACGGATTTTCCTCCTCCTGAGAGAAGCAGGTAAGGGACAGCAGGGATGCAGACTGGGGATTCCCTTTGGGAATGCCAGGAGCAGGGGAAGCAGAAGTCCCAGAATCCCACAACAAACCAGGCTGGAAAAGACCTTTGAGACATCGAGGTCCAGCCTCAAAACCAGAAGTTCCTTTCCCTGCATTTTTGGAGTTACACCAACAGCAGCTCCCAAGGACAGGGAAGACTCCAAGGATTTACTTCTTCCCAGGAGCAGGAGGTAAGGGACAGCAGGGATGCAGACTGGGAATTCCCTTTGGGAATGCCAGCCTGCTGTGCATGGGGGAAATTCCCTCCTGGGATCAGATGGGTTGGAACAGGACACTACAAACCCAGGGAAACCCCAGATCTGATTCCCCTACTGGAGCAGCCGGGCTGAGTTGGACAACAGAAGCTCCAGACTCCTCCATTTCCATGGAGCAGAAGTCCCAGAATCCCAGAACAAACCAGGCTGGAAAAGACCTTTGGACCTTTGAGGTCCAACCTAAACCAAAAGTTCCCTTTCCCTGCATTTTTGGAGTTACACCAACAGCAACTCCCAAGGGCAGGGAAGACTCCAAGGATTTACCTCCTCCTGAGAGAAGCAGGTAAGGGACAGCAGGGATGCAGACTGGGAATTCCCTTTGGGAATCCCAGGAGCAGGGGAAGCAGAAGTCCCAGAATCCCACAACAAACCAGGCTGGAAAAGACCTTTGGCATCGTCGAGTCCAGCCTCAAAACCAGAAGTCCCTTTCCCTGCATTTTTGGAGTTACACCAACAGCAGCTCCCAAGGACAGGGAAGACTCCAAGGATTTACTTCTTCCCAGGAGCAGGAGGTAAGGGACAGCAGGGATGCAGACTGGGAATTCCCTTTGGGAATGCCAGCCTGCTGTGCATGGGGGAAATTCCCTCCTGGGATCAGATGGGTTGGAACAGGACACTACAAACCCAGGGAAACCCCAGATCTGATTCCCCTACTGGAGCAGCCGGGCTGAGTTGGACAACAGAAGCTCCAGACTCCTCCATTTCCATGGAGCAGAAGTCCCAGAATCCCAGAACAAACCAGGCTGGAAAAGACCTTTGGACCTTTGAGGTCCAACCTAAACCAAAAGTTCCCTTTCCCTGCATTTTTGGAGTTACACCAACAGCAACTCCCAAGGGCAGGGAAGACTCCAAGGATTTACCTCCTCCTGAGAGAAGCAGGTAAGGGACAGCAGGGATGCAGACTGGGAATTCCCTTTGGGAATCCCAGGAGCAGGGGAAGCAGAAGTCCCAGAATCCCACAACAAACCAGGCTGGAAAAGACCTTTGGCATCGTCGAGTCCAGCCTCAAAACCAGAAGTCCCTTTCCCTGCATTTTTGGAGCTACAGCACCAGCAGCTCCCGAGGGCAGGGAAGACTGCCAGGATTTAGGAAGGCAGCCCCAGTCCTGCTGGGGCACCCCACAAGGGCTGGGACGGAGGATAAAGGATACTGGGTGATGACGTTCATGAGGAGGTAGAACCACATGATGGGCAGGGTCAGGCCGATCAGCGGCACCTGGAACAGCTCTGCAGGGAAAAAGGGTGGGATGAGCTCAGGACCAACCATGATCCAGGACTCCCTGCAGCCTTGCACAGGCAATCCCAGAGGGAAAAATGGAAAAGAAGGAAAAATGTCAGCAGGAAAGCTCTGTCTCGCTCTCCTGTGTCAGAGCTCTGCTGCTGGAGGAATCCACTCTGCTCCCACAGCAAAAAAACCCCAGCAGGTCCATGCTCACATCCCTGCCTGAGGATGAAATCCTGGCGCTCCCACTTCTGAGCCACCACGTTCCTTTTTTCCCAGGGATCACTCCTGGATATGCGGCTGGTGCGTGGGAATTGGGAAGAAACTTGAGGTTTAATCATGGAATTATGGAATGGTTCCTTAAATTCCACCCCCTGCCATGGACAGGGACACCTCCCACCATCCCAGGCTGCTCCAAGCCCTTGGACACTTCCAGGGATGCAGAGGCAGCCCAAACTTCTCTGGGAATTCCAGCCCAGCCAGGAATTCCTTCCTGCAACTTCTCCAAAATCCCAAAGGCTTGGAACAGCCCAAGATGCCAGCATGCAGAACTGCAGGAAGGGAACTTCCCAGAGGATTTTCCAGAGGATGGGAATGCCCACACTCACCAGACTGGCTGAAGAGCACGGCGTGCTGGTAAATGTTGGGAGCCAGGAGCAGGAATCCAGGGAGTGGCAGGGCGTGCTGGGGGGGAGAAACAAAGCCAGGGTGGGATCAGGGGGTGGGAATCCACCCCAATTCCCTGCTGGAAAGCAGCAGGATCAGAGCAGGCTCCTCCCTGCTCCATCCTGGCAGGGTGGGACCCTTTTTGTGCCCGGACCTCGGAGCAGGGGGAGCCCCAGGGACTCACGTTGTAGAAGAGGGCTTCCTTGGAGTGCTTCCCAAATTTCTTGTACAGAGTCTCCTGGAAAATTCCCATCCTGGCAGACATCAGCAGGGCGAAGGTGAGGGCAGCAATGCCTGGAAGGGAAGCACAGCTTCAACTCACCAAATCTGGCTTTTAGGAGAAAAAAAAATAAATAAACTGCCCAGACTGGGTAAGAAAACTGATAATTCTGGGATTCAGGTCTCCAAGAGATCCCTGAAAAAAACTCACCAAATTTGGCTTTTAGGGGAAAAAAAAAACCAAACAGGCTGGGTAAGAAAACTGATAATTCTGGGATTCAGGTCTCCAAGAGATCCCTGAAAAATGCCAGGGATGCAGTTTGTGCCACTACTGGTAACAATCCATTCCAGATTTCCCACCAGGAGACCCAGGTGGAAGGAGAAAACCACACTTTGAAGCCTCCTCTGTGAAATCTGGTGCTGAAGGAACAGCTGGAGCAGCCCCAGCCCCTCTCCCTCTCTGCTTTTGCCAAGAGAATTCCAAGAATCCTGCCAGCATCCCAGAATTGTGGCCCCCACATACCCAGCAACCACCAGAGGAAGGCCTGGGGTCCCTCCTCTTCACTCAGGCTGGGGTCAGATGCCTGAAGGGAGACACAAAAGTCACCAAGAGCCACCAGGTCCCTGCAGCAGCCACAGGATTCCCACTCTGCTCCAGGGAATGCAGAGATTCCAGGGAAAAAAGTGTCAGAGTCTGAGCAAAGCAGGATTTTTCCTGAAAGGAATGGCCTGGATTGATGAGACTGAATTTTTTAGTTACAAAAATAATCAGTGGTGCTTTTCAAGCTCCCAAAACCAGCCCATTCCTGGGTTCCTGTGTCCCCATCCCATTCCCAGGTTCCTGTGTCCCCATTCCCAGGTCCCCATTCCCATGTTCCTGTGTCCCCATTCCCAGGTTCCTGTGTCCCCATTCCCAGGTCCCCATTCCCATGTTCCTGTGCCCCCATTCCCATGTTCCTGTGTCCCCATTCCCAGGTTCCTGTGTCCCCATTCCTGCATTCCTGTGTCCCCATTCCCAGGTCCCTGTGCCCCCATTCCCAGGTCCCCATTCCCATGTTCCTGTGCCCCCATTCCCATGTTCCTGTGTCCCCATTCCCAGGTTCCTGTGCCCCCATTCCCAGGTCCCCATTCCCAGGTCCCTGTGTCCCCATTCCCAGGTTCCTGTGTCCCCATTCCCAGGTTCTTGTGTCCCCATTCCCAGGTCCCCATTCCCAGGTCCCTGTGCCCCCATTCCCAGGTTCCTGTGCCCCCATTCCCAGGTTCCTGTGCCCCCATTCCCAGGTTCCTGTGCCCCCATTCCCAGGTTCCTGTGCCCCCATTCCCAGGTTCCTGTGTCCCCATTCCCAGGTCCCTGTGTCCCCATTCCCATGTTCCTGTGTCCCCATCCCATTCCCAGTTTCCCATGTCCCCATCCCAGAAATTACCATCTAGGAAGGAATAACAGCCCAGGCCAAGCCCATCAGGAGCTAAAACCAGCCCTAAAACCAGCCCTAAAACCAGCCCTAAAACCAGCCCTAAAACCAGCCCTAAAACCAGCCCTAAAACCAGGCTTATGGTCAGTAAAACTGGGAAAATCAGGCTGAGGGCCCAACTCCAGCTGGACTTGCCTCAGCTCCTTCCCTGAGCTCCAGGGAAAATCGGATTTCTCCCCCTCTGCGGACAAAACAGCTTTTATAGATAAAGCTTTTATACCAAAGCGTCAGCCCCAGCCCTGCTGGGAGCTGGTCTGGATTAACAGAGCCAGGGCTGCAGAGCCCAGCCCTCCCTCAGCCCTTCTGGGGGTAAAAACCCCTGAAATTTGGGGCAATTTGGAGCTTTGCCAGCTCCCTTTCATTTCCAGCCCTTCAGGGCTGGGTTAAGTGCAGCCACTTCTCACTTTGGGCCATTTTTTGGCAGCAGCTGACAGGCTCAGGCCCAGGAGAAGCTCCCACAAGGATTTGCTTCCCTCCCTCCTGCTCTCCAAGCACAGGCACTTTATTTAGGGATGAGAACAGGAAAAATGCAGCCTGAAAGGCAACAATCTCTTGTGGGATGGAAGGAGGGAAGAGTTCTGATGGCTTTTTCTTCAGGATTCACCTGAACAAGGCAAGGAAAAGCAGCTTCTTTCTGTTACCACTCTGAGGTAAAAAACAGATTTATTCCCAGCAAAAAGCAGTGTGAACAGGTGAAGAGACACCTGTAATGAAATTAAATCCCACGGGAAAGTAAAACCAGGAGGAAATCTTTTTTGGGAGCAGACGCGGAGGCAGGAAACACCTCACATCTCCATGAAAAATCAGGGAATTCCTGAGTTCCTGTGGGAACTCAGCACATCACTCCGGATGTCCAGAGCTGCCGAGACAACCCTTGGGGGGCTCGGAGGCCCTGGAATGTTGCCAAAAGTACCTGGTGGCTTGACTTTGATCGAGTTCCCCGTCCCCTGCCATCCTTACCACTTGCTTGGCAGACATGAAGGTGCAGGTGAAGATGCCCAGGGACACCAGGGCGATGGAGCTGTACTTGGACACGCTGTACCTGCACAGGGGACAAGGGACACGTCACCGGCCCCGCCTGGCCCTGCGTTCCTGCTGCAGGTATGGGACAGCAGGCACGTCCCAGCCCAGCCGGGCAGGGCCAGCAGGGCAGCTCAGCGCCTGGGGAAGCTCTTCTCCCACGTTTATCCCAGGTTATCCCAACGTTTATCCCAGTTTATCCCAACGTTTATCCCACTTTATCCCAACGTTTATCCCAGTTTATCCCACAAACTCCAGCCCTGACTCTGTGCAGGCACAGCTCAGCTTTTCTCCCCACATTTCTCCCAGTTTCTCCCCACATTTATCCCAGTTTATCCCAACATTTCCCACATTTCTCCCAATATTTCTCCCAGTTTATCCCAACATTTCTCCCAGTTTATCCCACAGCTCCAGCCCTGACTCCGTGCAGGCACAGCTCAGTGTTATCAACATGTTATTAATGTTATCAGCATGTTATTAACGTGTTATTAACGTGTTATTAACGTGTTATTAACGTGTTATCAGCATGTTATTAACGTGTTATCAGCATGTTATTAACGTGTTATCAGCGTGTTATTAACGTGTTATCAGCGTGTTATTAACGTGTTATCAGCGTGTTATTAACGTGTTATTAACGTGTTATCAGCACTGCTGGAGCCACAGTCCCCAGCAGAAGGAGGCCCTGAGCTCCACCCCAGCCTCCCCCAGGAGCTCTTCCAGAAGATCCAGGAGTGAACACAAGAGGCTGCAGCTGTGGGAAAATCTCTTCCCAGCCCAAAATTCCAGAGGTGGAGATGCAGGAGGAGCTATTCCAGCCTCTGTCCCAGTTTCCCATGATAAAAATCAGAATATTTAACAGGAGAAGTGAGGGCACAAAACACCCAGCAGGATTTAATCCGTGGCAGAGATGAAATTTGTGATTTACCTTTTCTTCAGGATGATGATCCCTAGGGCCATGCTTGCTATGAGAGAACCCTGGAGAAGAAAAAAAAGAAGGAAAAATTAAACCATGAGGTCAGCAGGCCAGAATTCCCCAGTTTGGGATGCTGATCCCACAGGGACACTGCAAACTCCGTGTGGGGGATGCCAAACACCACGAGAAACTCCAGGTTTGAAGCAGGAAAACTGGCAGGGAGAAGGAACAGCTTCCTTGAGGCTTTTGGGATCCTTCCTTGAGGATATTGGGAAAACTCCTGCCCTGAAAGGGCTGTCCCAGCCCCGGAGTCCCCATCCCTGGAGGGATGTGGCACTTGGGACATGGGACAGTGCTGGGACTGGGGGGATTCCATGAGCTTAAAGTTCTTTTCCTGCCTCATGATTCCATGATCCTGAGTCCCTTCATCCAGGAGAAGGGGAGGAAATGAGCTGGGTGCCTTGGGAATAAGGATGTGGGTTGGATCTCCTGGCCAGGAGATCTTTTTTTGTCATTGTGGCCAAATCCCAGTGTTTAACTGGGACCAGGAGCCCAGCTCCAGGGATTGACTGCAGGAGCAGAGCCACAGCTCACCTGGGACAGCTCTCCTCCAGCCTGGGCTGGATTTATCCTTCTGAACCTCTCCTGATCCCAGATATTCCACCCCCGGCATGTGCCGTGGGCAAAGAGCTCCCACCAGGAGATTTTGTTATTCCCAACAGCTGGGGCTCCACTTCCTTGGGGTTTAAAAGATCTTTCAGCCTGGCACTCACCCACACTTAAGTGCAGATGCAGTTTAATGTTGTTTTTTGGTTTATTTTCCCAAAGCAAAGACCTGTGCAGGTGGAATTAGGCCAAATCCCAATCCATGAGCTGTGATGTTCAAGAGCAGAACATGAAGCACGTGGTGGCAGGGAAAGCTGGAGCCCTTGGGCCAACCAGAGCCTGGGACTGCTTTTGTCACTGCCACTTCCCCCTCAGCTCTGGAATTCCAAAGCCTCTCTGAGCCTGCCTCCCTGTCTGCCCTTAATCTGGAATTTAATGATCAACGCCGTAAGTTTGGAGCTGAGCTTTGGAGCCAGGCTGCTCTCCCACCAGCTGGAATAATCCAGGATCTCCTCCAACAGGGGCTTGTGCCCTCAGGGCACACGGAGCAGGGACAGCTCCGGCAGAAAGGATGGAATGGGAGCCCCAGGAGCAGGAGGAGGAGGAGGAGGAGCAGGAGCAGGAGGAGGATGAGGAAGAGGAGGAGGAGGAGGAGGAGGAGGAGGACGAGGACGAGGAAGAGGAGGAGGAGGAGCAGGAGGAGGAGGAGGAGGAGCAGGAGCAGGAGGAGCAGGAGGAGGAGGATGAGGAAGAGGAGGAGGAGGAGGAGGAAGCTCACCGAGCGGAAGATCATGTGCAGCGGCATGGCGATGTTCAGGTTCAGGGCGTAGTTATTGACCACGCTGACGGTGAAGAACATGGCCACCATGATGAAATAGTTCCTGAAACAGGGAAAAACTCCTGGGAGATGGGCAGGAACCTCCCGAGATGCTGAGAGACCCCTCAGGAATGCACAGAGAGCTCCCAGGTCTGCCACCAAGCTCGTCCCCAGTGGAGAAACATGAAGTGAATTTGGGTGATTTTCCAGGGAATCTTTCCCTTCCCACCACACCAAATCCCAGGGACACAAAGCTCTTGAAGCACACCAAACTCTTCCCTGTACAAAACTCTGTTCCTGCGACAGGGAAGGATCTGATGGCAACTTCCCATCAAAAATTCCTGATAGATCAGTGTGGATTTTATCCAGCCTGACAACTTCCTACCATGGCTCTGCAGGTGCTGCAGGACGGATGGGATTGCCAGAGGACAAGTGCAAAATCCATTTTACGAAAACCTTTTTGGAGATAAAAGAGATCCAGGCAATTCCTGCTGGGGAAAACCTCGGGATTTACCTGATGGGGATGGCCGGGCGCTTCCTCCCGAAGTTGGCCTCGAAGATGAAACCTTCCAGGGCAATGAACAGGAACTGGGAGAAGGTCACGATGTTCCCACATCCTGGGAACTGCCTGCAGGCAGGGAGAGCCCAGCATCAGAGCCATCCGTGCAGAGCTCACTCTGCCATCCCAGAAAATCCCTCACAAAAAGTGACAATCCCATGGCTTTTCCCAGAATCCCATCCCTTTTCCCAGAATCCCATAGCTTTTCCCAGAATCCCATAGCTTTTCCCAGAATCCCATAGCTTTTCCCAAAAAGAGACCCACCCTGGAGAGGATTCACTCGGGGTTTGTTCACCTGAGCTTTGCAAACACCTGCAGGGTGTTTCCTCCAACATTTCCCAGGAGGAACTGGTCAGTGAGATCAGGAATTAAAAAAAAATCTGCTGGATGTCCCTCTTTCCCACGGGAAGGGGCTCCAGGAGGACTCTGTCCCTCCCTGAAAGCTGCTGGGTTTGTTAGAGGTCGGGTCATTGAGGTAATCTGATTTTCCAGGGGGAAAAGGCAGCTGGAAATTCAATATCCCTCATCCCTGCTGCAGGAGGGAAGTGCCAAGGTCAGGGCTGTGCTGGCAGAGTGTCCCTGGTTCACATTTGCTCAGTTTCCCCTAAAAAACCTTCAGCTCCCCTGGGATGCAAAAAAAAACCAAAAAAACCCAAAAAAAGACCCTTTGGTTGTCTAGAAGGGACGAAAACTCCTCACAGGAGCCCAAAAAAGTCCTGGCAGAAATCCCACGTGACATCCACGGATCTTGGATTTGCTCAGTTTCCCCTAAAAAAGCTTCAGCTCCCCTGGGATGCAAAAAAAAACCAAAAAAACCCAAAAAAAGCCCCTTTGGTTGTCTAGAAGGGACCAAAACTCCTCACAGGAGCCCAAAAAAGTCCTGGCAGAAATCCCACGTGACATCCACGGATCTTTTTAAGCAACTCCACAAGGTTTCAAACTCCACAGGGTTTTGTCTGAGCTCAAAAGGGACCCTCTCAGTCCCCTTTTGCCCCCCTAGAGGGACCCAGGAGTGCAGAAACGCCACCACCCCCAAAAAATCCAAGTGTTTGTCCTGTGGGAACAGGAATTCCACACCAGGGAATTCAAGCAAAGCCTCCCTGAGGAGCTCCAGGGAGCAGGGAAGGATTTCCTGGGAAGCAGAAGCTCAGAGGAGACAAGGAGATAATGAAAAAGCTCGTGGGAGATGGAGGGATTTAGGGAATCCTTCCCAGAATTCCTGGGAGAGTCCTGCTCCTCACGGAACATGCAGTTTTGCAGGATTCAAGCTGGGAAATGCCCTGGAAAACAGGAATTTCCAAGCTGTCTCCAACAAATTCTGCTCTGTCACCCCACAGAGCTCTCAGGAGGCACCTGGGGAATGCTGGGCTGGAAATATTCCATTTTCCCTGTTTTTTCTCAGGGAGGGGCACCCCCCCGAGCCACTTCCCACATTCTTCCCAGCTTCATTATCCATAAAACTTCAACCCAGAGGATGAAATGCCCTGGAAAACAGGGATTTCCAAGCTGTCTCCTCCAAATTTTCCTGTGTCACCCCACAGAGCTCTCAGGAGGCACCTGGGGAATGCTGGGCTGGAAAGGAAAATTCCATTTTCCATTTTCCCTGTTTTTTCCAGGAAGGCACCACCCCGAGCCACTTCCCACATTCTTCCAAGCTTCATTATCCATAAAACTTCAACCCAGAGGCTGAAATGCCCTGGAAAACAGGAATTTCCAAGCTGTCTCCAACAAATTCTGCTCTGTCACCCCACAGAGCTCTCAGGAGGCACACGAGGAATGCTGGGCTGGCCCAACAGCAGCTGGAAAAATTCCATTTTCCAGGAATGGGCACCACCCTGAGCCACTTCCCACTTCCCTCTGCCACTTCCCACATTCTTCCCAGCTTCATTATCCATAAAACTTCAACCCTGAGGATGAAAGGTCCAAAAGCTCCTGGCAGGAAGAGAAGGGACCTTGAAGCAGAGGCAGAAGCTGCAGGATTGCAAATCTTATCTGCAGAGGGGATCACAAGGAGCTGGAAACCTGGGATAACCCAAGGATAACCCAAGGATAACCCAAGGATAACCCAAGGATAACCCCAGATCCCACTTTATCAGCAGAGTTGGCACCCAGGGTTTTGTGCTGGCTGATAAGGCACAGCTGAGCATGGCTCCTTCTCTGGCTCGCTCAGATCCACCTAAAAAATGAGATAAATTTGGATCTGTCCACCCAAGATCTGCTTCAGCTGCAGATTAACCAAAAAAAGTCCTCCCAGGAAGAAGTTTCCCTGCTCTCTCTCCTGCTTCGCCACGTGGAAAGGGAGAAAATCTGATTTTTGGGCCTGATTTACAGCCCTTCCACTGCAATTTGAGCCCCTTAAATGAGGAAATGTGGGATTTCTTGTTCTGCCTCCACAGCCCAGCAGCCACTCTCCACACATTTGAAGTATTTTTTCTGCCCTCAGGCATTTCCAGACTAAACACTTCTCATTCCTTTGCTTTCCTTCTAAATCCTGAGCAAATTTCTTCCCAATCACCTTTGCTGCTCCTCTCCAGCCTGGTCACTGCCTTTTCCTGGGATGCTGCTCCAGGATTTTGCTTTTTATGGCAATATTCACCTGCAGGAGGAACTTTTCCTTCCAAAACCCAAACAAAATAATTGGTGTTACCCCAATTTTTGGGATTAAAGGGGAGCAGGGTAGGTAAAAGGGATTGAGCTGGAGGAATTTTTAGGAATGGAGGAATTTTAGAAGTGGATGAGAGGTGCTGCCTGAAAAGCAGCTTTTCCCTGATGGCTGCAGTTGATTTTCTGGAATTTGCTCCTCTGGGCTTCAGCCACTTTGAATAATTCAGGTTTTGAACAGAGCCAAATGTTTTGGTTTTAGTTTGCTTGGAGGAGACACGAGTGGCGAAAAAACCCCAAATCCAAAGGGGTTTTTTTTGCTTCCAAAGGGTTCATTCCTCCTCTGGCACTCAGGCAGAGATTGGATTTTCCTGAGAGGAAAAACAACTCCTCACACAGGGTCTCTTCTTCCAGGAACTGCTTCTTGATTTTTCCAGGGATTGTGCACCATGTTGGAGCAGATATCCCAGCTGCTGGGCTTTGCACTCCCTTTTTCCTACAAAAATCTGGGATGTGGATGGGCTGGGAGGGATGAAGGGCTGGGTTTGGGAGCTGGAGTGGCTCAGGGGATGCAGCCCCACGCTGACTCACTGGGATTTTACACACAAACCAGTTCAGGCAACGCTTCTTTTCCAGTCAGGATTTCCCAGCTTTCTGACCAGCCCTTTCCAAATCCTCCTGGCCTTCCTCCAGCAGGGTGAGGAAACTGAGAGCCCCAAAAACATCAGGGTGAGTGAGGAAACTGAGAGCCCCAAAATCATTGGGGTGAGTGAGGAAGGTGAAAGCCCCAAAAACATCAGGGTGAGGAAGGTGTGATCCCCAAAATCATCAGGGTAAGGAAGGTGAGATCCCCAAAAATATCGGGGTGAGGAAGGTGAGAGCCCCAAAAACATCAGGATGGGGAAGGTGAGATCCCCAAAGTCATTGGGGCGAGTGAGGAAGGTGAGATCCCCAAAAACATCAGGGTGAGGAAGGTGTGATCCCCAAAATCATCAGGGTAAGGAAGGTGAGATCCCCAAAATTATCAGGATGGGGAAGGTGAGATCCCCAAAGTCATTGGGGCGAGTGAGGAAGGTGAGATCCCCAAAAACATCAGGGTGAGTAAGGTGAAATCCCAAAAACATCAGGGGGAGGAAGGAAAATGATCCCCAAAAACATCACAGTGAGGAAGGTGAGACCCTCACAATCATCAGGCTGAATGAGGAAGGTGAAATCCTCAAAATCATCAGGGGGAGGAAGGTGAGATCCCCAAAAACATCAGGGTGAGGAAACTGAGATCCCCAAAATCATTGGGGTGAGTGAGGAAGGTGAGATCCCCAAAAAATATCGGGGTGAGGAAGGTGAGAGCCCCAAAAACATCAGGGTAAGGAAGGTGAAATCCCAAAAATCATCAGGGTAAGGAAGGTGAGATTCCCCAAAGACATCAGGGTGAGGAAGGTGAGATCCCAAAAAACATCAGGGTGAGTGAGGAAGATGAGAGCCCCAAAATAATCAAGATGAGGAAGGTGAGATCACCAAAATAATCAAAATGAGGAAGGTGAGATCACCAAACACACCAGGATGAGGAAGGTGGGATCCCAAAAAAAATCAGGGTGAGTGAGGAAGGTGAGAGCTCCAAAATCATTGGGGTGAGGAAACTGAGATCCCCAAAAATATCAGGGGGAGGAAGGAAGGTGAGATCCTCAAAATCATCAGAGTGAGGAAACTGAGATCCCCAAAAACATCAGGGGGAGAAAGGTGAGATCCTCAAAATAATCAAGATGAGGAAGGTGAGATCCCCAAAATCATGAGGGTGAGTGAGGAAGATGAGATCCCCAAAAACATCAGGGGGAGGAAACTGAGATCCCCAAAAATACCAGGGTGAGTGATGAAGGTGAGATCCTCAAAATCATTGGGGTGAGGAAGGTGAGAGCCCCAAAATAATCGAGATGAGGAAGGTGAGATCACCAAAATCATGAGGGTGAGTGAGGAAGGTGAGATACCCAAAATCACTGGGGTGAGGAAGGTGAGATCCCAAAAATCATCAGGGTAAGGAAGGTGAGATCCCAAAAATCATCAGGGTAAGGAAGGTGAGATCCCAAAAATCATCAGGGTAAGGAAGGTGAGATCCCAAAAATCATCAGGGTAAGGAAGGTGAGATCCCAAAAATAAGGTGAGATCCCCAAAACCACCAGGATGAGGAAGGTGAGATCCCCAAAAGCACCAGCCTCCAATGTAGGAATTCAAGGGGACTCGGTGACTTTGCAGCGAGCGGCGATCCCGGCTGGAAAACATCCCAAGGTTCCGAGCTCGCGGTGCCAGGTGAGAGCATTCCCGGCTGGCTGGCCCTGCCCGGCATGGGGACACCGCTCCTTGTGCCCGGACAGGTCACCCACAGCCATAAAAATACCCCAAATCCCCCCCAAAACCCCCCAAATCCCGATCCGGGCGCTGATGCAGGTCTGGGCTCCTCCCTGAGGGGCACCGAGGCCTGAGGGGTAAAACCCCCTCAGTGCCAGCCCCGCACCCCAAATCCCCCAGACCCACGCTGCCACTGCGGCCCCTCACACACCCTGAGGGGGGATCACCCCGATCCCATTGGAATGGGCTCCCCTGACCCTTTATCCCCCCCAGACCCTCCCCGCACCTGGCCAGCAGCTCCAGGAACACCACGTTGCTGCAGCAGCCGCCGAACACCAGCCCCACCGCCACGGCCGGGTGCATGGTGTCGCTCCGGGCAACGAGGCGGCGTCCCGGGCCGCGGCCGCATCCCGATCCCGGGACTCTGCTCGCTCCCGGCCCCGCCGCCCCCGCTTCCTCCGGCCGCCGGTAGTTCGCTGTCCGCCTGCCCGTAAGAGAACTACAACTCCCGGCGGGCTCCGCGCCGCCTCAGCGCGGCTCCCGGCGGGCGCCCAGCCGCGGGGCATGAAGGGAGTTGTAGTTCTGGGGTGAAGGGTGTCATGGCGGCGCTGAGGTGGCGTCAGGAGGAGGAGCGGCTCCAGCGCTGGTTGTGGGGAGGAGCAGCGCGTAATTGACTTTTTGGGGTTATTTAGTGACCCCAAAACGCCAGTTAAAGGCAGGTCCTAAGGATGCCGTGCCAAAGAACTGTTTCGCTGTTCAAAATAATAATTATTATAGATAGGGAGAGCTGGGGGCGCTCACCTGGAGAGGAGAAGGATCCAGGGAGAGCTTCCAGCACATTCCAGGGGCTGGGTGCTCACCTGGAGAGGAGAAGGATCCAGGGAGAGCTTCCAGCACATTCCAGGGGCTGGGTGCTCACCTGGAGAGGAGAAGGATCCAGGGAGAGCTTCCAGCACATTCCAGGGGCTCCAGGAGAGATCCCTGGGATGAGGGATGGAGGGACAGGAGCCAGGCCAGTGCCATGGATGGGATTTTGGGAAGGAGGAGTTCCTGGCTGGGCTGGAATTGCCAGAGCAGCTGGGGCTGCCCCTGATCCCTGCAGTGCCCAAGGAAGGGTTGGAGCAGCCTGGGACAGGGGAGGTGTCCCTGGAATGAGCTCTGAGGTCCCTTCCCACCCAAACTGCTCTGGGATTCTGGGATTTGGGACACTCAGAATCCATCCTGAGGGATTTTTATGGAAGTTGGGGATGGAAATGGGAAGGGAGACCCTTCCTGGTTTCCTGAGATTCCCAGTGAAGCCCCTGGGTCAGAGTTGGGGTGGGGATGGATCCAATCCCAGGCTGGGAGAGCTGGGAATGGAGGGAACTCCCTGGCAAGGGAGATTGGGGTGGGATGTTGGCCATGAGGAATTGCTGGCTGGGCTGGAATTGCCAGAGCAGCTGGGGCTGCCCCTGATCCCTGCAGTGCCCAAGGCCAGGCTGGACATTCTGGGACAGTGGGAGGTGTCCCTGCCGTGGCAGGGGGGGCTCTGGGTGGACTTAAGGTCCCTTCCCACGCAGAAAATTCCAAAATTCCATCGTGAGTGTAACTTCCAGTTCTAAGGTTTTACGGCATCCCCTCCAAATCATCTGTCAAACCACAGAAACCACCCCGACTCCAGAGTGGGAATTCCATCCCACAAATGCTTCGCTTTCAATCCATTTTTGAGCTGAATCCGACCCTCATCTCCTCCTTCACTTTTGAATTCCACAGGTGTGAAATCCCACCAACAAATCCCAGATCAGTCCAGGAATGCAGCGCTGCGTTTTTCTGACTTCCAGCTCCTCCAGGAACGTGAATGAAACCTTGGCAGCTCCTCTGCTGCTCAAAGCTGCTCAAGACACGGTGAAACTGCCAGGATTTTCCTTCTTTTTTTCTTTTTTTGGCTCACTGTGAGACTTTTTGGGCTCTCTGACTCCAAACTTTTAATTTTTTAATTTCCCTAATAAAGAACTGTTATTCCTGCTCCCATACCTTTGCCTGAGAGCCCCTTAATTTCAAAATTACAATAATTAAGAGGGAGGGATTTACATTTTGCATTTCAGGGGAGGCTCCTGCCTTCCTCCATTCCCATTCCTGAATCCCATCCTGCTGCTTTTCCCAAGAATTCCCTGTGGGATTTGGCTGTGCAGACAAGGCTGGACCCGTCTTCATTCCCTGAATTCCCCTCAGGATAAAAAAGAGATTTGGAACCAGTTGGGAAATGATGCTTGGGGTGAACGTGGGGATTTGTTTGGGGGTTCATTCCCTGGTTTTCATCCCAAATTTCTTAGAAATGAGGGGAGGGTGAAAGAGGGAAGAGCACCCTGGATTTTAGTGGGATAACAGCCAGCTGTGGGGTTTGGAATGCTGAGCTGGATTCCTTTTTTAGGGATATTTTAGCTCCTCACAACCTGTTATTAATTCCATTTTTAGTGGGTTTAGGTGAGGAAACTCACACAACATTCCCAGGGCAGCTGTGGCTGCTCCTGGATCCCTGGAATTGTCCCAGGTTTGGAATGCTGAGCTGGATTCCATTTTTAGGGATATTTTAGCTCCTCCCAACCTGTTATTAATTCCATTTTTATGGGTTTAGCTGGGGAGGCTCTCACACAACATTCCCAGGGCAGCTGTGGCTGCTCCTGGATCCCTGGAATTGTCCCAGGTTTGATTCCCAGGGCAGCTGTGGCTGCTCCTGGATGCCTGGAATTGTCCCAGGTTTGATTCCCAGGGCAGCTGTGGCTGCTCCTGGATCCCTGGAATTGTCCCAGGTTTGATTCCCAGGGCAGCTGTGGCTGCTCCTGGATCCCTGGAATTGTCCCGGGCAGGGCTGGGAGCAGCCCGGGATGCTGGGAAGGCTCCGGAGGGTGGAACTGCAGAGCTCGGGGTCCCTTCCCACCCAAACCACGCCAGGATTCCAGGCTGAGGACACAAACAGAGACCCAGCCCCGTCCCGAGGGAAGCAGGAGCAGATCCCGGGATTTGGATTCCTCCCCGTGGTTTTTATTGCCCTGGCAGGGGGAGGATTGATGGGGAGATGAAATCCTTTGTGGTGCCTGAACCCCAAACTGATCCAGCCCAGCCGGCACCTCCTGCCCCAAACCCCTCAGCTCCAGAAGTTCCCAGCCCAGCTCCCTCACCTTTTTTTGGGAATGTGCCCAGCAGGAATTCCGCCCCACTCCCACTGGAAATGCCCCAGCCCTGGAATTCTGCAGCTGGAGGAGTTTTTTTGGGAACATTTTGTGGTTTTTTTTGCTTTAATTTCCCCCTTTTTGTGCTCTATCACATTAATTAAAAATAACCTAAAGAGATATTTTTATATCTATTTATTTTTAGGAGCTTTTGAAGGGCTGAGCCTCCTCTCCTTAAATTTTCTCATTCTTGGAATTATTTATTCCATCCAAACCTTCCAGCTCTTCCTGCTGCTCCCTCCTCAGCAGAGAGGGATTTTTCCCAGAGAATTTTTTCCCAGGAATTCCAGTTATTTTCCAAAATATGTCTCATTTTTGGAGCTTTCCTCAGCTCAGCATTCCAGAAATTCTCCCTGTTTCTCTGGAGGGAGAGGAGAAATTCCTGCTATCCCAAACTTTTCATTTTCCATGAGATTCAGGGGATTTTTTTTTTTCCACTGCTGGATTTTTCCTTGAGTTTTTCCCTTTGGTCCAAAGTTCCAGGCTCCTTTCTTTTCATCAATTTTTATTAATTTTTTAATCCCCCCAAATTTTTTATTCCTTTTATTTTCCTCTGCCAAGTGGGGTTTTTGTTGTTTTTTTTGTTTTGTTTTGTTGGGTTTTTTGTTTGTTTGTTTGTTTGGGGGGGTTTTTTTTGTTTTTTTTTGGGGTTTTTTGTTTGTTTTTTTTTTTTTTTTTTTAATTTTTATTTGTTTGTTCTTTGATTGTTTGGGGGTTTTTGGGTCTTTTTTTTGGTTTTTTTGGGTTTTTTTGTTTGGTTTTTTGGGGTTTTTTTTTTAAAGGGATGAATTCCATTTTTTTTCTTGCTGCTCCACCCGCCTGTGTCTGTTAGAACTTGTCAAATCTACTAAAGCCTAAAAACTCCAGGCACATTTTGGGGGAAAATTTGAAATAACTCCTTTTTTTTGTTGTTTTAAACCCTCTCCCCTTCCTCCTCCTCATTCCTTCAGGTTGTTACATTTGACATCCCTGTAAACGAGCTGGAAAAACTCCAGGCTGAAATTCCTTTCCCTTTGGAAATCCCTTTCCAGAGGTGATTGATGGGAATAATTTCCATTAAAATTCCCTAAAAACGTGCAAAAATTACATTTTTATCAATATTTTAACTGTTTTCTTTTTTTTTTCTTGTCCAGAACATGAATCAGAGCCATCCATACCCAAACTTGTTTGGATTTGGAATTCTGGCCTTCCAAAGGGAACCATCCCTAAAATCTTTTTCTCTGGAATTTGTGTCTTCTTTTTTTTTTAATTTTCTCCAACTTTTTCTGCTTTTGCCTCCCACATTTGGGAATTCCAGCTCTTCCCGACCTCACGGAAGAGCCATCCCTACCCAAACTTGTTTGGATTTGGAATTTCGGCCTTCCAAAGGGAACCATCCCTAAAATCTTTTTCTCTGGAATTTGTGTCTTCTTTTTTTTTTTTAATTTTCTCCAACTTTTTCTGCTTTTGCCTCCCACATTTGGGAATTCCAGCTCTTCCCGACCTCATGGAACCAAAGTTTAGTTTGGGAAATTTGGGAATTCCAGCTGTTCCTGATCTCACGGAACCAAAGTTTAGTTTGGGAAATTTGGGAATTCCAGCTCTTCCCGATCTCATGGAACCAAAGTTTAGTTTGAGTTCACTGCAGGACGTGGAGAGTTTGGAAAATTTGGGAATTCCAGCTCTTCCGGACTTCATGGAGGGTTTGGAAAATTTGGGAACTCAAGCTCTTCTGGAACCAAAGTTTAGTTTGGAAAATTTGGGAATTCGAGCTCTTCCCAACCTCATGGAACCAAACTTTAGTTTCAGCTCACTGCTGATGTGGAGGATTTGGAAAATTTGGGAATTTGAGCTCTTCCTGACTTCATGGAGGGTTTGGAAAATTTGGGAATTCCAGCTCTTCCCAATCTCATGTAACCAAAGTTTAGTTTGGAAAATTTGGGAATCCCAGCTCTTCCCGACCTCATGGAACCAAAGTTTAGTTTGGAAAATTTGGGAATTCCAGCTCTTCCCGATCTCATGGAACCAAAGTTTAGTTTGGGAAATTTGGGAATTCCAGCTCTTCCTGATCTCATGGAACCAAAGTTTAGTTTGGGAAATTTGGGACAAAAAATATCTGGAAAAGGACAAAAAAAATCAAAATAAATCTGGGAGGTTCCTTAAAAATCCCTTGGGACGTTTGGATTCGGGGGGATGAGGGAAATTTTGGGATTTTTTCCTCCTTCCTTGCATTATTAAATCAAATCCTGCAGCTTGGTATTTACAGGGAGATAAAATCCGAAGGGGAGGTTTGAAATCTCCCCCAAAGGAGGCTCT